TACCTTTTATACCACAGTAGTTTTGAATCAGCGACTATTATGTCGAATGAATAAATATTTCTTCAGAATTTTTTAAATTTGTCTTTTATGAAGAGTGTTTTCTTTACAAATACAAGTAGGAAAAATATATAATTCTCAGCCGGCTTCCTACGATCAGTCGGTTCAAGGTACGGCGATGTAAAGGGTGTTGACTCCACGTTTTAAAAAATTATTTTTATTCGCCTATAGAAGCTCTATGGTACAACAAACGAAGTCCATAGAAAAAACAGCACAAATTACTGAACAGCAGACTAAGCGCAGAAAATTTTCTGCTGAAGTAAAAAAAGAGAAAAAATACTTTTTTTACACTTTTTATACTATCTCTGCAGCGTAAACTTTTTTAAATATCGTACTATTTCTCTAACTTTTTAGCGGTGCACCCCATTTCACGCACTTCGTTTTCTTCGAGTAGAGCCTTGTAGGTTTATAATTTTTTACATCCGAACCCGTCCAGCTTTGCTGCTTTGCAGATCCAAACTCGACCTGCACCCGTATCTTTTAAAAGTTTCGTACCCGCACCCGTATCCACGAGGATCCGAGATTTCTTGAAATTTTTCATAATCAGAAAAATTTTCTAAAAATATTTTTGTTTTTGAATCGGAGTTATGAAGTTTCTAAATCTGTAGTCAAACAAAATTATTTCGTCCGTTGTTAAACGATTGTTCTTTTTCGCCTGTTGATCAGTACCATTTTAAATCAATGAAATAGTGTTACTGACACTCTGCTGTCACATTCTTTTCAGTTTAAAAGCTACTCCAGAGCTGATAATGGATACAGCGGGTATAGCCCTTGACGAGAAAAAAAATTTTCAAAATTAATACTCGCATGTTTCAAATTTTTCATTCAAGACCCGCGAGTAAAGGTACGGGTACAGTTCTGAAACAATTTTGCAGGGCTCTATCTTCGAGCCATTCCTGGTCGATTCAGAGTCAAAATAATCTAAAAGACTATATAAATTTTTTGGAAAAAGAATATTAGAATGCATGCAATTATTTCAGGATTGAAGCATTAGATATGTAGAAGTGCGAAGCTTGATTAATGTAATATCTTCAAATCTTCATAATAATGTCTTTAAATTTCTACAATTTTACTGATGAGTGATAAGTGATGATCGTGTTTTTTTTTTGCAATTCTACTATTTCATTACGTAGACATTGTCTACTAGACAATCACGTCGACTACGAAAATTTATATAGATTATATAGAAAAAGTTACATTTTTATTTAAATGAATCGTCCTCTATTGAAAACAAATCAGATTCAAACCATATTAATTCTTTGTGAAAGATAATGAAGAATGAACAGGGACAGGACAGGTGCGAAATTTTTCTTTTATGAACAAAAGAAAAAGAAAATGTACAACAACGAGAAGAAGAAGATGATGATGAAAAAGTTACTAATCAAAGTAATTTACTTATTATTTATTGGCTATTCTAGTTGAATGATCAAAGCAATTAACGATGACGGTATTTTCTCGTTCTCTTTCTCTTCCTCAGGCTATGCCACGATGTAATCAGCAGTCCCGCGCATATTATCAATAAATAGAGCAATAATAATTACAACAAATAACTTATCATCATCTTCAAATGAAAAAGAAAAAGATCGCAATCGTTCGATTTTCTCCTTTTGTATTTGTACATTAAAGAGCGACAGAATGATGAAGAATAACAGGTCTAATGTGCGGACAATGTTCAATGAAAAAAAATGCATACGACAAAATAATCAAGCGGATCTGATTTTATTTCATTTTAGTGTACACGTGCTATTATAATAAATTTGTCTACTAGATAATTAGAATGAGATAAATTATCTTATGTGTTTTATTTATACAATACCGTCAATATTATATGGATAAAAAAAGGAAAGATTAATAGAATTTTAAAGGAAATTGTGAATTTAAGAATGAGTTTTCTGTAAGAGGATTTGACAGAAAACATAATACGTCATTTATCACAATTTAATACCACTAAATTTGACGATAGTCATGAAAATTTCAGGAAAAAAGCATTTAATTAAGAATTTTTAATCAAGTAAAGAATCTCCCTATTCCTTTACAAAGCAGTGAGCAGAATTTTGTAGGAAACAAGTGAAATGTGTAAATTCTTGTTCCATCAAGTAACAATAGTAGAATTTATGCTGATGAACACCTTACACCAATTAAATAATATAACTGACATAAATATTTTACATTCTAGAATACGTACCACAATACTAATGGTTTGTTTTAATGTTATACAATTTATGTTTCTTGAATTTAGAAAGCTTTTTTTTTATAATCTATTAAACCCATTAGATGAAAACAAAGCTTTATTAAACGTAAGATGGATTTTTAACAATAAAAAAGAAAACTTATTAGAAAAAAAATGAGATCGAGCATTATGTCATGATAAAAAAATTGTTGCAGAAATTTAGAATTTAAAAAATAACCAATCAAACTACTGGAATAAAAATGAAGGTATATTGTGAAAAACATTAACCATCATAAACAACTTGTTTTTTATTAGAAATTTTCTTCCGTTATTATATTCTTATTTTTCTTTCACTTTTAAAGTGCAGAAATGAAAAATCTTTTGTTTTGGTTAATGCATTTTTATATTTGATTCAGAACAATAAATTCTATTTAAACACGGGAAATAGATTTATATCGTCTCATTTACATTAAACAAGTTCATAAAATAATGCTCTCATTTTTTTTCTTCTTCTTCTTCACGCAATTTCATGATTAAACAGAAAAGAATAGGATTTAATGATAGAGTCAGGCATCCGTAGGTTGGACTAAATCCGTAAATTAAAAAGATGACTTGACAGTTTATTTTCAATAAGAAAACACCTATTGAACTCAGAATATGTCTTGAAAATACTACTGTCTAATATAACTAAAATTGAGTTTTTATAATAAATAGAAAAATAAAATATGCAAATAATATTTCTTTGATTGAATAAGATTCTGCTATTCTTGTGATTGATAGTAAAAACATTGATTATATTATTGAGATCAACTTTGACTATCAAAACACTTCTAAAGATTTTACTCAATTATTTATTAAAATATTCAATCGTTTTTTCTAAGCCAGTCATAAGTCTAGTTTCCATTATGTTTAGATAGATAGATAAATTTATTTTAAACAAAGGTAGGATGTCACGAAAAAGCACGAAAAAGACTTGTGGCATCTGGAGACACCGCATGATAACCTAAACTAAAAAGTTTCTAAAAAGAATCGCTACTATAAGACATACATTGTAAAAGAAAACATAAGTGTGATATATTTTAAGAGAAAGAATAATAAACATAAAAATTATTGAAAGCCTAGATGATCTCTTAACATACGCTTAAATACAGATAAAGAAGACTGACATGCTAAAAGCGAAGGAAGTTCATTCCATTCATTTGAGCCACATGGAAAGAAAGAGCCGGATACAGATTTTAGCTTGAGACGATGAATGAAAACGCTATTATTATGACCTAATCGAGAACTTTGACGCGTAGATAGTGGTGAGATCAAAATCAAAAGATGAGAGAGGACTTTTATTATAGAATATTTTATGAAAATATAGAAGACGATAGTAAAGACGTCTATTAGAAAGTGGTTGAATTTTAAATTTTTTGAACAAATAAGAAGAGGAACTATTAAAGTCTTGTGAGATAATTCTACTAGCAAGACGCTGAATTTTGTTCAGAATATTAAGGTGAGTGGTCAAGGTTCAATCATAGATAACAGAAGCATATTCGAGCACTGGTCGTACACAAGTTTTATACAGATGGCAACGTAAAAACGAGGACGAGTCTCGAAAAATTCTGGAAATAGAGCCTAACATTTGCCGAGATTTAGTTGAAACATACTCAATGCGAGATTTCCACGTTAAATTATGCGAGATAATAACACCAAGTAGTTTGAGAGATGAAATACGTTTAATAATAATGTTTTTTATTGAAAGAGTGAGTGGTGGAAGTGTTTTTGTAGAGTTAGAAAATAAAATCCATTGACATTTGCTTATGTTTAATTTTACCCCATTTACATCACATCAAAGAAGAAGCTCATCGATACATTTTTGTCCTTCGAATATATTTGTGATGCAAAAGACATCGTCAGGTTGATATCGTTGTTTGTTTCTAAATTTGTTTTCCAGTTATTGAATCAATTTAGAAATATTCATCGTTCTACGATATGTCTGATGTTAATTCTGAATGACAACAACAATAATAACAGTAGACACCATCAAGCTGATACTATTGGCTTTTTACAAGTATCAATGATTCTCTAAAAAGTTTTGCAAGTGTTTTGGACAAATCGTTTTGAGTAAGATACGAGATTTCATACAGAAAAGTACGATATTAAACAATAATTCTACTGTACGAGGTAGACTATGATAAATTTTTCGTAAATTCTGCACAACTCTACAACAGTTATTCTCCCTTTCTCTAACGGATGCTAAAGCTATGTAAATAGTTTAATACGAGCAGAAGATGACCATTTGTAATCAATTAACTTTAATTCAAGCACTGTAACTAACTATAGACGGTGAAATGCTGCTTTGTTTTAACTGTTCCAAACTATAAACAAAATTTTCATTTCAACCATCTGAGCGCCAAATTGAAAAACAACTTTATAAAAAGAAAACGTTAAATAATATATGTAGAAATAAACATTTGATTCGATGTATTTTTTAGTTAAAAAAAATGTTTGTGATGCTGTTAGTCTATTATTTTTTTAGAATATCCAATCTTTAACAAGATTCTGTTTGCTCTTTGGAATGTAGCATGATGATTTTCAAACTGTATATCATCAATGATCAACTTCATACTCTAACTATAACATTTTATTAATTAACATGCAGTGACCAATATAAATAGTTTACATAGTACAATAATAATTACATCGGAATGTGATAGAGTTAGTTAATATTTATATTAATATTAATAGTTATATATATTAAGAATGAATTGTTTTTATATACTAAGACTCATTTGAAACCTTTTGCAGCCATCTTTTGTTCATGTTTAATATCTTTGGCTTCTTGTTTTGCCTCTTCTTTTAACCGTTCACTTGTTTCTTTAGCTTCTTTTGTTTTTGTTTCAGTTAAATGTTTTAATTCTGCTGCTTGATGTTTTTGATCAAGTTCAATCGATTTACTTGTTGCTTTTGCTTTCTCTTTTTCCAATTGATCATGGTGTTTTAAATCATCAGCTTCTAACTTCGCTTCCTTTTCTAACACTTTGGCATTATGTTGTGCCATTGTATACTACTAATATTTCAACCAAATATAACACGTGTAGATAGTAATTTATTTCTAAAATGAAGTAAAATATGCATCTCATATAAACAAAATCCCGGACAGAAAATGGTAGCTAAAAGATTCATCGATAGCAATTATTAATAATAGCATTCGATAATTAAATAATTTTTAGCTTGACCAATCTACTGGAATATTCTAACTAAAGACACATGAAGATTGAGCAGTGATTTGTATGACTTTTCGTACCCGCATCCATGCTACAAATCGGATATGGGTATAGGTGGAGTTGCACATCTCTAAAGCAAAGAGCGATTTCTGATACGCTTTGAGTGTGAATTTCTAGTTTTCATTAAAAGTTTATGCTATATCCCGCGAATACATATAATTTCACTCACTCTCATGTACTCTGTCGTTCTGTAAAAGTGAACGCTTTCATCCATTAGCCAATCAAAGATCTTAACACTTTTTCGGTTCATTCTGTATATTTCCTAGAGAAATTAACATGCAATTCTGTATATGCTGACGATTCTATACATTTTGAGTTGAATCTGTAGAATCAAAGCTTTTTAAGAATTTCACTGATTCTACAGAGTCCCTGCTGTTTCTTTAGATTATCCACTTCTGTTTTTCCTTTACAACAGATGTAAACATTTCATATCATAACTAACAAGCATTAGATAAAGAAAATTTGATGATTTTATGTCACCAAGATTCGAAGAATGCATTAAAAATTAATGCATACTATCAAACCTATAACGAATAATACAGACGTGTAGTTTTTTTCCTTTTGGTTTTTGTTAATTTTCGAAATTCAATGAAAGTTCATAAATTCATCGCCTAATACCAGTGGCGGATCTAGAAAAAATTTTCGGTGCTGACGGATTTGTACAAAAGAACAATTTTAGTAATTTTACTTAAAAGTTTCTAGACGACACAATTTCTACTTCTTTTTCCTTTATTATTATTCCTCGCTTTACAGAGGATAGAATTAAACTAATATTTAGAATTATAAAACAAACTCAGTTTAAAAACACAATAAATCATAATTATTAAACCGCTGAAAAGTTCTATGTGCTCGGCGCGTTGCACACGAGTATAACACATGAAATCAAAAATTTCGGTGCTGGCAGCCGCCAGTACCCTAAATCTGCCACTGCCTAATACATATTCACTACTAGAATATGGTAAGTTATTTTGATTACTTTCATCCCAACTATGAACACTTGAGAGTAATATTTAAAGATGATTATTATCAGTATCGATCATCACACATGGCTAGATAAACATGCCGAAAATAGTAAAAAATATGTCGTGCACTATCCGATGAAATTCGAACAATTTATATTGACTATATCATTTAACTGCTACATCATAACAACCGAAGTCATTCAAAACAAACTCGAATGGACGACAATTAGAACTACTACTGCAAGGCGGTTTTTACAATTGTATAGATGATCACATAACATACGAAAGATGTGATTACGAAGAAAACATCGACAGGATTGTCACTAATCAGTTTGCTATTTATTTCATCAACAATATTGAAGTACATCCATGTTTAGATATAAAAAATCGTGGACACAAATTGATTGATATACCCAAACAAATCAACGAAAATAATGATTTCATCACCATTTGTATTGTTGAAAGCAGCTATTTCTGATAGAAAGGAAAATTCAATGTCACTTGAAAACTAAATCAAAAAAACAACTTTTAAAGCGTTATGCTGTAAGAGCTAAAACTTTACACATATATTCTTGATGATGGGGAACTATGTCTGTGAAAGTTTCTAGGATCAGGCTAATCTCACTGCAAAGTTATTTGCAAAGAGAAAAAAAGTGAAGAATTACAATACGCATCGTTCAAATGTTTTTATTGAATAAATAATTGACAAAAATGATAAAGTCTATAGTATGTTAGTACATTCTTAAGAGAATTTTTCTATCTTTCACATGAATATACACATGCCATACCTACTGGAAATTTTAGGGAACGGGAGTCGGTTATATTCATTTCTGAACCTGGAAGATTTGGGATAGATCCACTTTTCTCGACTCGGCATGCATCTCAGAACACCCTGATATACTCGTATAAACAAAAATAGGTTGGTTATTTGAGCTTTTTATGAAAAACAAATTTTTTTTCGTCATATGCGTACATATGCGTACAAAGACTTTGAATTTATTTTTGTTCCCTTATATGAGACGAATTTATCCTGCTCTCTCGCTATACAGTCATATTAAGCGTTCGTGGTCTCATTGGATAGTGAAAGTGTCTTTCTACCAAATGTATCATCTCATTATCCGTCCTCTAGTTTTGGGTTTTCAGAAAACGTCGAGACTTTTATATCTACAATTTTCTTTCAATTTTTATCATAATTGTCCTAATTAATACATTAATTACTAATTGAGGTTCAGAGATGGTTAACGATAATACTCGATTGAATATGAAAAACAAAAATACAAAGATTTTATTTTGATGCATATACAAGTATTTCCAAGATTTGAAAGATGCAATAGATGGAATCGATCTAAAAAATGGTAGTGGACTGTCGGCGCCGGTCTAAAGTTTTCTACCGAACAGAATCAGCTGCGATGAAATTTTTGTCGGAAAACGGGCAGTTTTACTGGAAGATGCCATGGATGGACGATTTTTTGACGGCAAATAAAAATGGCCGATAGAAAAATCGGTAGTTTTTTGCTGTGTTCTAAAAGAAAATTCATGAGCCTATCTGAAAATGAGATTAAGTCAATAAAACTCGGAATAAACCCAGAAAAGCTAAAAAAATTGTTACCGACCGGTCTAAAAGACCTTACCGGATTGGCCGGCCGCCTCTGGTAGAAGTTGATAATAAAAAACTGTATTTATAGCAAAAATAAAAGTTGCTTACTTCTCACCTGCTATTTTTTTTTGTGCCTTTACACTCGCTTACTATCGGCTGAGCAAAGGTTTTCAAACGATCGGCAACCGACCGAACTGAACAGGTTAGAAAATTTCAACCGATTCCAACTCTGAGCTGGCTAAAGAAGGAAAGATTAAGAGCTGTCTGGCTGTATTAGAAAAAAACTGCTATTTTTCTCACATCTGGGTTCATAACATGATCAGCAATCACACGACATCCCAGAATTTAGATGGAACAAACCCAAAAGACTATTTTTTCGATACAATTCTTTGTTCATTCCAAAAATAAGTCTAGAAGATATCAGTCTCAGCAGTAGAGAAAAACTATTTTTAATGAAAATTTATATCCAACAAAAAGAATCCATGAAAAAGGCAGTTTGTCAATAAATAACAAAAAAGTTGGTGAAGTGGTTTACTATCAAAATCAGTTAGGGAATGTTCATGCTGGTAAAGATAGTATATTTACTATAGAATTAATTAATTAATGAAAAGATACATCTTGTGTAATAAAAAGGTCCGTTGACAGGGCTCTACTTTATCTCAGTATAAGTATGTGCATGATACTCACACACATAAGCTGAACATGCTGAACATGTGGCGGGTATATCCTCAAGTAACCCGTGAATGTCCACAGAACCTGCCCACCGGTATGCCTTTTTTCTTGCTTCCGGCGGAGACGAGTACTCGCGGATGAGGTTCGAACAAACGGATACACCCTTTTTTCCTAGCGATTAGTAGCGCCATATTCAAATTTTTATAGAGGATATTCTATTCACTTATTCTAGCTGTTCGTTCTGCACAAAAGTAAAGGTTATGATGTTTGTTTTTTGTTCTTTCTTATTTAGTTTTGAAGTAAATGAATGTCTTTTATTTATGGACTTACACCAGAAATGAAAAGGCAGAAAATGTTTTCGTAACATACCACACAGGAGAACTTCTCACGAGTACCCACGAGGATATCTTGGCCGAGGTGATATCCGCAGTCCAAAAAAATGAACCGCTATCCCTGACATGGAAGAGAGGAGTATTCGCGGTAACAGGTCTGATGAGGCGAGCCCACGGGTGATCTAAAAATCTATGCCCGTGCAGCGCTGCTACTTTCTATTCGGACATCAATGAAATAATGGTTCCATTCCATAATGTCATAAAGACGAGTCTTTAGTCAAAGAAAGCTTTGTGGTAAGCCCAAAACAGCAAGAATATTTCAAGTATGATTTCTTTGAAGAGATCCAGATACGTACACACCGATAAACTCTTAATGTGCACAGATAATCGCTAGGAAAACGAACACGTTTATTTTTAAAAGTAACTCGAAAGAAAAGTCGAAAAAAGTTTAGTTTAATAAATTTTCTTTTTTAATTGTAGCAAAAACAACAACTGACGTCAAAAATCACACTTTTATCATTTATTTATTTTTGATACAAAAAAAGCAATGAATGACAGAAAGTACAAAACGAATCAAATGAATATTGACGATGAGAACAAAAGAATAGGAACGGATACTCGTACATCTATCCAAAAAACGAAAAATAATCTTTTTAAATCACTTATGAAATAACATGAGAGATATTTTTAATAAACAAACAAAATATACATGTTAAGAGGCCGTATATACAAACATTTCGTGTATAAGAACTAAATAAGAATGGTAATAAATTGCGACTGATCTGTAATATCTCTACGACAAATGGGACATGAATTATTTTTTTTAATCCATTGCTTTAAACAGCTTGAATGAAATTCGTGCGTACATGATAGAATGTGAATTTCTTGCCCATTCTTATATGAACATAAACAAATTGAACATTCGGTGTCAGGATCGCATATAGACGTTTCTGAATCACTAATCGTGTGAATAGACGGGGATGGAGATGGTGAAAGATAAATAGTCAATGGCGAAGCACCAATTATATTATCTACTGAAGATGACGGTAATATCAGATTTGTATTTATATTTGTCGCAGAACTATTCATACTCCTTGATGATGATTCACTATGAAAATTCCCTAAACATGAAAATAGAAAATCGTTTAATATAAACTATTCTTATTAAATAACAATTCTTAAAACCTTTGACATTGGCTTTCTTTTTAAGAAAAAAAAATTACCTGAATTTGTTGACGGATTTATGCTGCTTGGAATAAACGTTGGAATTGGTAAGTTTGTGTTCATTGGATTAAAGTTGTCGAGTAAAGCTTGCATAACTTAAACAAAAATTCAGATAAATAATATGTTAGAATATCAATTCTGATTTCTATAAGTTTTGCTAATTTTCGACTCGTCAAGGTCATGTTACATTGATGTAAAGTAAGGAGTCACTCGTCTGATATTTTTACTTTTTCATACCTGTTGTAATATTTGGTTTTGTATCAATGAGATCACTGTTTAAACGCATAGTCATATCAGTATTAAATGGATCTCTCAAAACACGATGAATTGCATTTGCCTAAAATAAAAGTTAACTCATTGGATTAATAATCACGTTTATCAAAAACAAAAACAACCGTAAAAATAAGTAATCTACATCATTGAGGATCATTGCTTTCTAAACTTGAGCAATGGTTTATAACGAAATTTGATTAATAGCGGCGTATATTTTACTTTGATCATTACCAAGATAATAAATTTAAGTCAAAATACATTACGCAGAACGTAGAGATTTTTGTATTTCGTTTTCTTATATCTTTTTGTATAAAATTGAACAATGAAGACGTTCTAACTTACACTAGGTAAATTTTGTGCTGTACAAATACCATTTTGTAATAATCGTTGTTGAATTTCCCATGCAAACATTGTTGGACATTTTTGTTTTAAATTTAAAATTTCTTGTATAATACGTTGTGTGACGCGTTGTTTCATTTTACTATTTGTTTTTGTAGAAAGATCAGACGGATAAGAAATCAAACGTGACATATCAGAGGATAATTGAGCATGATTATTATTAACTGAGTTATTCATTGTAGCACATAAATTATTTTTATTTAACATTGGTCGAAAGAACATTGGAAGTTCGTTAATTGAAGGAATTTGAGACATCGATTGCGGTATAAAACGAGATTGTTGATTCGATAAAATATTTGTTTGTACTATCGAAGAATTAGATGGTGCCGTTGAAACAGTTGCGTTAGATAGTTTTGTTGATGATGACGTTTGAGATTGTGGGCCAATAAAGGATGATGGAGGAAAATAAGATCCTAAAGAGAAAAGAAAAATAAGATATTTTATTTGATTGAAAATACTTTTCTGACATACCATTCAATGAAAAATCACCATAACTAACACTATGTGGCAATGATGGATGATTTGAACAGCGTTTCGCTGTAGTAGACACTGCATTATTATTAATATTACTAGGATTATTGTTTGAAGTCCAAGAATGCATCGATGGCCAATGTGTGGAAGGTTCATTTACGAAAGAAGATCGATTTTTATAACACAATCTCTTATTCGGTATGAGTGTTAGATTGTTCTCAGCTAAAAGAACGAAAAAGCATTTCATCATTAGTTAATTCACAGTGACAAGTGTTCAACTTTCTCTAAACACTATTAAAACCAAATAAAAAGTCTCACGGCAGAATACGTGCAGAAATAAAATAGTAGTTTTATTTATGCTAATTCTATAGCCCTTTATCTCAGTAAGATCAGCTGTCGGGGATAAAAGGATAGAGTATCCACCATATAATGAACTGTTAATTGGATGACTAAATATTCACCATTCGAGCTCAATATAATGTGCTTCAGCGTGCATTTTCTGTCGAAAGATAATCTGCTGACTAAACATCGTACAAAAATGCATTATCTTTTTTAAAATAATAAGACAACGTACTGTGTCGACGATAGAAATTATTGTGCTCTGACGTTGGCTGATGTCCAAGTTTTTGTTGTGTCCATCCATTGTTATTATTAACCATTTGAAATAGGTCACGAGAGGATGTTGACGGTATCAATGGTGTATCGTTACTGGTTGAGATTGTTGTTGATAAATTACTTGTCAAACCATATATAGGTTTTTGATAAGATGTATTAAACGGATAATGGTGCATGAATGAATTGTTATTTGACAATTGTAAATGACTGTACGGTAGTTTTCCATTTGAATTATAGATTGGATAATTTATTATATGTGAGTTTGCATTGGTCGATGATAGCCCATCCATAGGTGGTACGCGTGGAAAATTAACAGGAAAATAGCCTAAAATGATACAAGAAAATTTTTATTTAGTATTGTATTTGAACGGCAACGTAAATACAACATGTTGATGAAAATCAATTTTTAGTATTCTCATAAAAATAACATTCAAAAATATTTTCAGTATAACTATCACTGATTTACGTGTTAAAAACTCACAACTTACCACCCATTTGAGGTATTGAATTTTCTGTTAATGTCATCATTATTTTATTCAGTTGATTTATCTTTTTATTTAAAATATCAATCTATTTTATGATCTAAAATTAAAACAAGACAATGACTATAAGTATGTTTTATTTTGATCAACATCCATAAAAAAAAAAATTAATCAATTGACATATTTTCTTACTGAAAACACACTCAGACGAGTGTATCTGTCTTACTCGAGTTTTTTATTTTTTCTTCCATTTTCTTTTAGACAAAAGTTTTTTGTTTAAAACACAGGTTCGTTCACGCGTTGAAACACATACATACTGCTACATTATTTTGTGGTTGAACGAAGAGAAACAAGAATGATAATCACTACAAGCTCTCTTCTGCTTTACACGTTATAATTATATATATATATATATATATACATCTTTCTTTTTTTTCTTTTCTTAACAGAATTGTACGAAATAGCGATTGCCTTCGGAATATACCTCATATTCATTTGATCTTATCTTAATCTCTCCTAGTAACTGAACTAAATAATATTATTATTGATGTGTTATTCTCTTTCTTTTCTGAGAAAAAAAAAATCTATATATTAAAATCGCATGCGAAACATCGACGAACCGAATATGATCATCTGTCGAGGATATCTAATTTAATATAAGATTCAAAAACAAATGTTATTTCTATTCTAAGTAGAAAAAGAAAAGAAAGAGAGGAGAGAAAAAGAAATCTCATTAAAGTGTGCATATCAAACACACACAATGTGTTGTTTTCCAAGCAAATAAAAAAAAAAAATCTTAACATATGTTAGATCATCATATATCAAATATTGTTAAGATAAATAAATGAATATAAAAGCAAAAAAGAAGCTCATCTAATTTCTAAAACGAATGCAGTTACTTAATGAAAAGGTCGCTATCTAGTAATATGATCATCTAAAACACGAAGAAAATAACTTTTATCTTATTTTACAAATATTTATAGTTTTTGCTGATTCAAATAGACGATTACTCATTGTATTTTCGAAGAAAATGGTATCGATAAAACTTCGGATACCTCTATAAACAACACCATTCATAGGAGAGTACAGTCTGTTATATGAGTAGAACAGCACTTTACTATCTACAACACTTTACTATCTGAACAATGAGCAAGTTCCATTATACAAAACTGTACCAATTTCTTTGGTTTTCAGCTGGTGCACAAGTTTAACAGATTAAGAAATACAGGTAGTTTCTTTATTAAAAGAAAAAGACTTTGTTAGAACTCTTTTAACCACTAGCCGATAATGAACTCCATCTGAAAAGCAGAATCAATGCACTTTTAGCAATGGCCGGATCAGATCTTATTAAAATATAGGTTCTGATTCTAAGATGAAAATAATGATCAACTTCGAATCTAGAGACAAAATTAGAACTGAAATTTCAGAGTTGATTTTGGTTAGATTTTCCAAGTCTGAATCAGTTATTGAAATAAAAACGAAGCTTTCTGCAAATAAATACTCACAGAAAACTTCAGAATACTACAAAACTAGATAAGATGGACTATTAAAAATATTTAAGGGCAGTGTTACTATGAACAGGATCGGATTCCTCTTACTATCGAATACACTTCCTTAGTAACCGAGTTAATTCTAAAAGTACTGATAAGGACATTCAGCGATGAATCAGTGAGAAGCAAAAGAGATGAAAAATTTTTGTAAAAAGTAATTTCCAGTTTCGTCTAAGCAGATTCAGACACGAACTTCGCCCTAATAATACTGTATAACTGATTCAATTTTTTCGATCGAGTCTTTTTTGTCGACCAGTGTTTACTGTTCTTTTTTGAAATTGACTGAAGAAAAATATATTGCTTGCGAAAGCATACGAAAATATAGACATTCTACTCAATAGTAGCTGAAAAACTACGTACAGACAAAAACAGATGGATACTGATGACATTTTTGTTGGAAGAACAGATGTATACATCTTTTGCACTTTTTATTCGTCTCTGATTGTTGTTTATATCACGTTGTGTCAAATAATTGTTTGAAACAAAACCAAAGATACGAAATAAATTGCTGTATCCGATGATGACAAATGTACAGTTCAAGTCCATGTACGCGACTATTTGTACTAATGATAAATAAAAAACATGAAACATAAATCCTATCAGAGTAAGACCACTTGGGGTGTATCCCTAGTTTATCTCTAGAAAAATTGTCATAGTTTTATCCGGCTAATCATAGCACCAGTGGCGAATCTAGCACTACGGCGGTCCGGCGACCGCCGCCCCCTCGCAAATAGAATTCTACCAGACTTCCTTAGAAAAAATATTCATACTACCTCGGACGACTTCGTTTAGAAATCGCCACCCCGTCGGTAGAATCCTGGATCCGCCACTGCATAGCAGTTAACGATGATCATAAAAAATATCTATTGCTAAATATTTTTCAAGATATTACTTTATTAATCATCATTTAAGTCAAAAATCTAACTATACATGATTTCAAATTTGATGAAATCTTACAATTAACAATAAAGGCGTTGACATGAAAGTTTGTAGTTTAATTCTACCTTTTGGTAGAAATAACTGCTGACTATTCAGTGGTACTCTCATTTACAATACGTAAAGAGAGAAAGAAAAAACGCGACAGACACACCTATTTGAATAATTATTGTACTACACTAATTTGGAAAATCATTCAGTCAAAATAAACAAAATTCGTTCTTTTTTCAAGTGTAGATAAACTTCCGTCTTAAATTTTGTAACATGCACATACCACATCTATATATCCGCCTGGGAAAAAAATGTTTCAGTCATGTTTTTGAATTTATTATAAATATACAAATACATTATATAAAAACAATTATATATTCTGATAGCGCTTAAAATTCTCTATTAGTCTTTGCTTTCCCAATCTGAATTCGAAATTATTTGCTAGCAAAAATTTTGAATATTGTTAATAATTTTACAAGGCTGTCATTTTTTTCGTCTCTCGTATAATCTGCGTAGTTTTCTTGATTGAAGTTTTGAAATTAAAGTTTAGGTATGGTTTTGTAGAATATTTCGCGGCGCATCTTTTAAAAAGAAACATTAACCTTTGGGTCCTAAAGAAACACGAGAAAAATAGAAAATACTAAAAGGCCGTACCCGTTATAATTCCTGGGAATGTGGTGGGGGACGTTAACAATATTCAAAATTTTTGCTAGCAAATAATTTTGAATTAAGACTGGGAAAGCATTGACTAATAGAGAATTTTAAACGCTATCAGAATATATAATTATTTTTCTATAATGTATTTGTATATTCATAATAAATTCAAAAATATGACTGAAACTATTTTTTCTCAGACCGATGTATAGTTCTGCTCAAAATTATAAGAGTTAACGATTTCCAACATCTTTCTATAAAGCCGACTAGCTAGAATAAATTCAAATAATGATTTGGACAACTGAAATGATGCCCTGTCAGATGAGGTAGATGTCACTGTTTCAAAGAAAGTCTTAAAAATAGGGTTTCAACAAAACCACACCAGTGGGGGCCTGCGAGTTTTTTGGAAAATTTTTCCAACAGTTTAGTCTTGTAGAGTTGAAAACTCTGATGAAAACGAGATCACTATGAAATTTCCTCATGAAGTTACAGGTGCATGAAAAGCGGTACAAAGCACCGCTTAGAAAAACAATAAAGAGCTTATTATAGTCGTTTGTGCACCATCTATAGTTCCATAAGGAAATATCGTAGAGTGCTCGGAGAAATTTCATCAGTTCTACAAGACTAAACTGTTGGAAAAAATTTCCAAAAAACTCTCAGGGACTGAGGATCCTACTGGAGCGGTTTTCTCGAAACCCTATTTTCAAGACTTTCTATGGAACAGTGACATCTACCTCATCTGATAGGGCATCATTTCAGTTATCCAAATCACTATTTGGATTTATCCTAGCTAGTCGGCTTCATACAAAAATTTGGAAAATCGTTTACTCTTATAATTTTGAGTAGAACTATAGATGTAAACGGATGAAGGATAAAGAAAATAATCAGTGTCTCACTCTCCTCCTTCATGGACATTGCTATTTTCTCTCTTTCAAGGATAATAATAGACGATAAATGCTTATGTATTCGCTACAAGGATCCCTAAAAAGAACGTATACTCTTTTTTTTTATTATAGTGATAATATTCGATATTCTCTTTCAACAAAAATAAACTTAAATTGCTGCGATATTTTTCGCATAATTTACATAAAATTCATTCAGAAGCTGTGATCGGTAGAATGACAATGAGCTACGAGTACTACCACAAACTATGAAAGTTGTCATACAAAAAGGTGGTTTGCATGAGTCAAAGGCAGTGAAGCGTTTTAAAAATAGGTAAGAGTCAAAGGGTTTTCCACGTGCCTCCCTATTGAACTTTTACTTAAGCATAAAGCAGAATAAACTTATTTTACTTTGAACATGAATAAGACAATAGGTAAGTTATTAAAAAAACGGAAAAAGCATCGAAAAGCTGTTTTTTCTGTTCATTGTTTGCTGCGAAACCGAAGCAAAATACTGCTCAAGTCAACAAAACCCATTCTCTCCTGGGAACAAATCACGTGTTTAACGAAATGTTACAATCCAAAAATAAATGAGGCTGAGCTTCGTGTGGCAGAAATCGCGTAGAACGTAAACCTCTTGAGTCTGCCACCTATGTGTTAAGTTACTGTTCTTTGTTGATGTTTCTCTTTTTGTTTGTTCAAACAAATAAAAATCGATTTCAAATTACTGCACTGTAGCTATGGGAAATCTCTCTCCTTGAAAAAAGACCTTACATATCTTACTTTGTTCTACATTTTAAATCTATAACAATTTCGTTAACAAAGTCATTTTGTGAACGTAATTTTCATAGCTGGCGACATAATGGCGAAAAGAGCTTGAGGTCTATGTGAAGACATAGTACAACAACAAAGTAAGATGGAATCAAACTAATTTGACACCTGTGTGCTTTCAAAGATATCACAGAGCTCTATTTTTCTTTCATGTAAGAGACGATCTTAATTAGTATCTGTCCTACGTTATCATTAAAATATATTAAATTAAACTTTCTGTCAAGTTGTTGATTGCTGATTATTTTCTGATTGATCAAAATGTAGACAGTAAGTTTTCGTTTTCAGTTGCTTATACAAGAAAGATCATAGCCGAGTAGGATTCGCTCTCTTTGCGAGTAAGAGAATTTCTACTATTTTTTTTCATTGACGTATGGGAAACTTTCTCTGAATTCAGCAGGTGGGTGGCTATCATCCTCTCACTAAGTTTAAATGGACTTTGAAAAGAGAAAAGGATTCCAAATAGTGAATTAGTACACGCTTTTTTTTTTCGTTTCGGAGAGAACTGATCTATTAATAAAATGAAAATAAATTCGTACTTGAGAAATTGATTCAATGTTAATAAAAACACGAAAACTGTTTGATGTGAAATTATAGAAGCTAACAACGTTTTATCCCAGAATGTTTTAAAAATGTAATCACTCTATTATTATCTTACTGATAGTTGTTAATTCATTTTCACAGTTCCACTGTTTTATTTTATTCAAGGCCAACGTGTATTACACATATTTTATTGTCGAGCATATGATAACCTGTTCAAATGGAGGCGCTTATATTGTGAGAGACTATTCACGTATGTATAATTCTATAAAAATATGCATATAATAACGTGAAAATCATGTAGAGAATAGAGTTGAATAGAAAAAAAAAGAGAAAGAGAGGCGGATAGATTCATATTTAAAAGTAATAAATATTCCTTTATTTTACGAACAAATTAAATATCGCCTATAAATTACGACTTTAGAAACAAATACGCTAAACTGTATCTGATAGTCTTCTCTTTTTCTCTTAGCACATACAGCTGAGCAAAAACAGAAGAACAAAAAACACTAACATTAAGCAAACTCTGTTACCTTGACACATCTGTTAACGTCGATTGAAATAATAAATCTGTCGATACAAAAAGCATTACTATCTTCTGAAACGCGCACAATCAAATATTCTTTCGTTTATTTCCATATACGAATGACTTACTTTATAACACAGACGTTGGAGGAAAACCAATTCTAGCATTAATTTTTTTTTTAGAGAGATTGGTTAAAATACTTTGTCTCTCTCGTACTAAAAATACTTCGTTCATAAACAAAACATTGTCTCTTACAAATATCCATTAAAATCAATTTATCTTTCTACAAATATAAGATTATTTGCATTGGCGGGTCGCCAGCAGGACAATTGGGGATAAATAATTTATTTGAATAAGCCGTGCTTTTCGCAATTATAGCGCTAAGTATAACCATTTTTGTGCAAAACAAAAATATTCTTCCATAACTTACAACATTAAGAGAGGCCTAACGCTTACTTCACCTAACTCGATCAAACTTGAGAGTTATAATTTCGTACGATTCTTTTTTTTTGCAAATCGGATTGTTAATTGACGATACATTTCAATTTCATTGTTGTTCATTACAATTTCGTCGAATATTAATATAAAACAAAAACAAAAGAAAAACAACATAATCATTCAGAATAAGAAATAAAAAGCAGCATAAAAACATTTTGAAGTTTTAAAAGTAACGTAATAAAGTATTGCCGACGATTAATTAGAAAAAATTCAACTAGTCTTCTTCCGAACACCAAGAACATTTTGTTCAGACAGCTTAAAAATGTTAATATGTTCACTACAAACGTTGCTTCTACAAAGCTATATTTATTCTAACATCCTCAAACAACAACTAGATTTATGAAGAGATAATATCCAAATTGCTAACATTCTCACAAATTAACATCTTTACCGTTGTCTAGGTAGACATTCCAACACAAAGATGTCGATCCATAATACAACAAGATTTATCATTTTTTTATGTTCAATATTTAAAATGAAGCTTTTTATTTCTATAGGTGCATAACTTGTGGAAGAGATGATAGAAAAAAACACGAACAGTTATCTATACAATAAACAAAAAAGCTGAAGGGTCGCACGAGAACATGTACGTATATATGCAGATATAGGAAGAAAAAAGATTAATAAGATGAGGCTAATAAAAAAACATGAAAAATATTCGTTTATACAAGTAAGCTGAAGTTGCACATATGTTGAGAAAAGAAAAATATATAAAGAGATAGAGGAAGAAAACAAGAAAAAAAAATCAAAACAAATAGAAACTCCTTCGTGAGATAATCAAAACATACACCGATACTTCTTCTTTGAGAATAGATTAAAAAAAGAAAAAACCAAGTTGGTGACTTGTAATCTGCTTCTGAAGGAAGACATTTTAAGAAAAGGCCCATTTACTGTTTTAACAATCAAGGGTTTGAACTAATAATAGAAAAAAGAAGAAAAATGAATATTTTACATTGTTTGATAGACCAGACCACGCCAGTCTTGTCGACACAATGGACCTAAAATAGTCAAATTTCAGGATTAGATGAAAAATAACTTAGGGAAAGAAACGCTTACATGTATTATTCATATCTAACCATTTTTGAATACATTTTGAATGATACTCATGCCCACATGGCAACTGTCGAATACACTGACGATTTTTAAATGGACACATACAAATAACACAAGCTGTTTGAGTCGATGACGTTGGATTTATCGGAGGCGTTATTGTATGACGATTTTGAGGACTTATTCGACCGCTACGACGAATGGTTGGAACTTCATCACAACTTGTACTCGTATTCGGTGCTTTATAACGATAGGAGAAAAATTGACGTACATCGAACTGATTAAAACGATTTGGATCAGATAATTTTTCAGCTAGATCAAGTAACGCTTCATAATTTTCTCGTTCCCGATAAGTACGCCAATGTGCATTTCGTCCGATGGAATTTGCACGACACCGTTGTTGAATCAGATAATTTTCATCTGATGAACATGTTGATGAGGTTTCACTCGATGTTTCGGAATACGTTGGCGATATATTTCCATTACGAACACAATCGTTTTTGTTATTTGCTGTTAATGTTGTGGTTGTATTAATACTGTTTTCATTCCGTCTCATGAGCATACTGTTCATTTGACTAGTAGCTAAAAAGAAAAATAACGTCTGTTATGTATTAAGTAATACAACAGCAGCTGTTCCTATACAAAAACAACGTGTCTTTGCGTTCTATCTAAAATACTATTTGTTCAAATCAAAGCTCCTTTGCATACAAAACATGCCTTTAACGTTTTTCTTTGTACTTGGTACGATATTTCGCAATATTGCTTGTTCATCATCATCATACGCTGTCAATGTTGGTGATAATGATCTCACTACATCAATGGGAATCTCACGTCGATATGGAAATGCTGGTGTCTGTAGTTGTTGTTGTGAATGAGGTAGACGAGGATAATGGTTTGGTGCACTGTTTGTACGATAATATGAAATCGGATGTTTTATCCAGTTTGTTGTCTGATCTACAGAAAATAATGATGAATTGAAATTTGATAATGGAATTTGACTTGGAAAATATGATGGAGGCATGTCATGTGTCATTGGGTATCGTCCACGATTTTGTCTAGCGAGTTCATCGTGTATATAACTATTCAAACTATCCATTTGTTGTTGTTCTTGTTGTTTCTGATGCATTGATTTATGCTTTATTATTGGTGGTTGATTTTCAACTTCATTGAGTTTTTCATAACGAGTACGTTTGCTTAATAGATGATTCGTTAGCTGTTGCTGACGTTGATTAAAATAATCGTCGTGCAACACTAATTGTTCATCGTTATCATTCTCTATTGTTGTTTGGTTATATGTTCGTTTTCTCGTTGATTTCTGTTGTGATAATAGTTGTCTTGTTAAAAATAAATCATCATTATCAGCAACAATTTGACGGTGATCCTGTATGGGTATTAACATTATTGACGGGCTCGGCATATCCAGTAGGAGTCGATGTTTTCCTACTGATGAAGGCGTAGACGAGAGTTGATTAGATGGTATCGTCATGACCGGTTTATGGTGCTGAAAAGTCTCATTTTCGCATCCACTATTCTGAACATCATTAGTACTTTGTGACAATAGTGTAATACTTTCATTTAAATTATTTCGACGTAATGAACGATTTGATTGTTTAGTTCTTTGCTGTTCCATCGATGAATTATCTAAAATCAAAATGATTTCACAATTAATAAGCAGAAAAAGAAAGCAATTGCTGATACTAAGAAAAAGTTAATTTATTGCAGGGCTCATGTTTCTTTAACCCTTTACTCCCAACAGGTCACTGGAGTGACTATCTGTACAAACGTTCCAAAAAATAAACGAAGGAGCAAATCTAAAACTGATGAAGATTCTATGTATAGTAGATTCTGCAAGCTATCGGTTCGTAAAAATCAACATTTTCTCCCATTGCTTCATCACTGAAATATATGACATATAAAATCAAATTCCGGCAGCTCTGCTGGAACTGCTATGGAGGGTAAAAGTTTGGTTAAAGTTTGACAGACGTTGCTTCCACTCTGATAAATAGTTGCTCAACTGCACAACACAAATGGAAAATATAAAGATGAAAAAGGGCATAGTCGATCAGTTTTTATTCTATATGACACATATGGTGCATGAAATTAAATAATCTCATAGAAAAGATGAACTGAACCGAAAAAATGAAGATATTTTTTTTTAGCAGTCATAGCTGGCGAACCTGCGTGTTTTTTTCTCTCCTACAGAATCAGGTATCCTGTCGATAATCTCGAAAAAACCTAAACCTGATTCTACTTTATTTTGTAATTCACAGAAAAATTTAGTGACTTTCTATCTACCGTTCCTCGTTTGTGTTTTTCAAATAAAAAACACAATAATGTAATTAATTATTAGAGAAAACCAAAAATTTTCATTTTTGATATGACTTGGTTGTGTATATACTAAACATACAGCAATGAGAAAGAATTCAGAAAAGAAAGAAAGAAATAGTAGACAACAAGGACAATCATCATTCTACGACATTGCTGTCTGGTATGTGATCGGTCCTCTACATATCGGTATGTCAGAAGTGAAATGATTCAGATAGTTAAGTATCGACTCTTTTTTTTAACGATAGTAAAAGTTATTATCTCATACTTTTCGTTAAAACTTGACGAAATATGTATGAAAAACATGCACTTAATGTCCTACAGACGAAGAACGTCATGACTATAATTCAGGCATAGTAAACAGAAAGAATCATACTATGAGAACGTTTTGTTAGTATCTTGAGAAACGAAACCACAAAAATTTTGTACTCGAAACACATACAAACCCTAAATGACTATTATATTCTACAAATAGTACATTATAATCAGTGAATATTGTCTTCATATTATGTATTATACGATGTGATGTATGTGATGTGTACATGCAAAAGACTCGATGATTATTGAAGAATACATGCAAAAAAAAGGTCTTTTTTTTATTATGTGAGATGTAAGGTCTGTTTTATATATTTGCACGATATAAAAAAAATAGTAATTTTTTTGTTCATCGTATATATATTCTATCTGCTGCGTACATTTAGAAAAACCTCCACTTATTTTTTAGACATACATCTTCCTCTCTCTACTGTACTATCAAGTAGTATTTGATGAATTGAGCACACACATGTAGCACCCTTCTACAACGATATGAATGTATAAAGTAATGAAAGAAGAAAAAAATGATGATAGAGGTTGAATCATAAAGAAAGTGTGTGAGGTTATGACTAAACATATGAGTGCATGTGAAAGAGAGAAAGAACGATGGAGGACGCGGTCATCATACATAACAGGATCGACGAAAGAAAATAGAGAAAAAAGTGAAGAGAGAGAAAGACAACCTTATATCCTTGACACAAAGAGCAGCCTTGTGTATGGCGATATAACAAAGAACAGCAGAACAAGGAAAATTAGAATAAAAGCCGACTTTTAAGTCTGATAATAAAAAAAAATAGAGTAAAAGTTCAACAAGACAATAGGAGACTATGTCTGACAAATGTCTGTCTAAAAAAAGTAGGTCAACAGCATCATGTGAAAAGTTTTCATAATTGTTAGAGAGAACAATAGTCGTCCGGCTACTATGTACAGGAATGGTACGGTGACAAATAAGTGAATAAGATAAACTGACTTACGACATTATTCCAAAACTCAACTTTGTAAATTTATTGACATAAAAGATAATGTTCCGTTTATATATATTATCTAGGCAACTAATTCTTGAAAAGTAACATAGAATTCATTTATCTAAAATATAAAAAAATCTGCAAACATCTGTACGACGACGAAGACAATAAATTTTGCTGTAGAATGAAGATAACAAGCTAAACGAATTTCTAATCTCTTATTCAATGACTATAAATAGAAAACAATCCAAAATAGTTATAAAAATAAATGACCATTAAAACATTCAATTTTCTTTAGCCAGTCCAGTAAATCACATTTATCAATATATTATTCGTATACAACAGGAAAAAATACAATAATTTTAGTTATCAGAGCAAATAAAATATGCTCATTGTAGGTTATGGACATTAATTCAAAGAAAGGTTTTCTATCTGAATGAAGAATAATAAAAATTGTCTTCTATTATTCAATTTTACTCATGTTGAAAATATTATTTATATTTATTGTCAATCATTTTTTGATTAGTCAGTCCATCCAATGACCTTAAATATATAATTAATCATAACCAATTTTTGAAGAAAATTCTTTAATTTTATCGTCTTTCATCATTCATATCATTATAGTTATTGTTATCTTCATAAGTAACATTTTTGTATTGTTGCTGTTGTATGTTGTCTTGATGTGATATACTTTTAGGACACCACTATACATTACATAACATCTTATTCAAAACATTTTTATTTATTTTTCTGAAACAGCAAATAAATCAAAACTGTCAACTACTAGTATGCTCAACTATAGTATGAAGCAGTAAAAAATAGAACTAAATCGGTACAGTTGTATTGTGTTCTTTGTCTAAGTACAATCTTGACACTACGAAATCTAATAGTCAAGAATAGTCTAGGAAAGATTCCTGACATGTCTTTTTCCCGGGAAAGTGAGAGTATAAGATGGGGATTTTCTTAAAAGAAGATCTTCATGTGTCCACAATGAAGTCAATATTTCTACTCAACTTTAAAGGCAAGAAAAGACATAAGTAAATGTAAGTAATAGTTAAGTAGACAGTGATGGATGCACAATTATCCGACAGCAACGTTGAAAAAAAAAGGATGTCTAAGAATGAAAAGTACTTCTTATAAATGTGACAAGCAAAATTAATGAAACAAAAACCAAAAAAAAGTGACTGGTGTTCTAGCAAGACAAATGTAGGACTGTTTTTAGCGTTATATATTCATACATTGCTATTCGCAAGCCAATATGTACTATACAGTTATTCTAAAACGACACACATCATCATGAAGTTTAATGTCGGAATTAGAGGTTTGTGATAAAACAATATACCTATTACTGACTAAGTCAATTCAGATACATCCCGCATGTTTTTCCGTTTGTGTGCTGCAGTTTGAGAAGGAAATAAAAGTAGATAGGTTGTTTGTCTAAAATCTAAACAACAAATTCTTTAACTCGAACAAATGAGTGTTTATCAAAAGATCAACAGAAAGAGAGAAGAGAAACTTGGTTTTTCCTGTTCATTCTAGAAAAAAAGATCTATCGAAGTTCAATGTCTGTGCAAATTCTTTTTAATATATTCGAGAGTCTCTTACAGCATCACTTTATTACTGGAAAATATGTCATATGTACTGTTTTTTATTGTATCTTTTCTACTCAAACTAATAGAAGATCTTTATGCATTTGATAAATTTATTGTCTGAATAAATTTTTCTTTTCCAAACTAGACCACTGGTGAGAATGTTATAGATAAATAAATGAATAAACAAGTGTTTCGTTAAAGCCATTTATTTTTGAGAGTTAATCAAAAATTCACAGAAGAAAAAAACATAATTAAATAAACGAATAAACAAGCAAAACTACCACAACATATTTCAAAAACATAAAAGCAATTCAATTAAAAGATTGACAATGAGAGTAGATTAATATCTTTTCCTCATTCCTATTTAAATGAACATAAATAAACCAAAAATAGAATAGATAATGCACCGATCAAATATGTTGTAAAACAAAAAGAGATGAGATTAATTCACAAAATTTATGTCAGATGTTTTGCGCTGCATAGTAATAAAGACATGAATATGACCACTGAAGAATTTCTTCTATATATCTGACCATCAGAACACACTAAAAACACCAAAAGAAAAAAAAACACCGTAAATGGCCAACAGTGTACTCTTATACTAACTAAAGACAAGAAAAAACATTACGTGAAAAAGAAATCAGATACATTTAGATACATTTTTATTATAATAGTATTGCTTTCAAATAGAGAAAAATGCATATTTTTTCACCCAATTTTAGGAATTTATTCTCACATCAACACTATTATTCTGTCTCTTCCGTTTCGCGTGTATCACTTCTTGTTCACCACAAAAGAGATTCAATAGAAAGCTGAGCATATAAAAAAATTAAGATAGCTTTTTAACAAAAACAAAAAAAAAGAAAAGAAGCTTAAAAGAACGAAAATAACTCATCTATAGGATAACGACTGAGACTACAATCAAATTTGTTAGAGAAATGTAGAAAATACAAAATAAAAGAAATAAACTACAAAAATGCATTATTATCATTATTATTATTATCATTCCACAATAAATAAATGAGTTACCATTTCATTTTTGAAATAAATAAATAACAAATAAACAAAAGGTAATCGATATTCAATATCGTGTATGTTATTGATAAACATACAAATCAAAATGCTTTTATTGTTGAAAAAGTGAATGAATGTGTTTCCCTGAAGTAATTTGTTTTATTTACACACACACACACACACACACACATACACATTATATGAGATAAGTGATTAAACGAGAAAACAAAAACAAAATGCGTCAGCTGTTTACAATGAGAAAATAGAGACTAAAATTTTGTTGAGCTATGGTAATTGAAATGAGAATCTGACATTAGAAATCAAAATCATATGAGATTATGTATAATTAAATTTTAAATAACTTTCATGGATACAATTTGCTTTTGCTTCTAATATAGTACGTTCATTTAGTAAACGTTTTAATTCATCATATAATCTTAATGTTGATTTACGTGGACGTTGACGCCATGACTGAGTGGTAACTAATGGTGTTTTAGATTCTAAAATATTCTTTTTTCGATATCGGCATGATAACATAATATCACTAATTTTCTTATCTATATGTTGTATTTGTTGATTGACTTCATCAAAAGATAAACGATGTTTAGCACGTTCATGAGCTTTTTGTTCAATAAATATACATTCACGTAAACGGTCATATAATTCGTTTAATTTTGTTGCTCTAATTAAAAAAAAATAATGAAAACAAAAGAAGACAAATGTAACTTTTGAAGATGCTTTCAATGATCAAATTGAGAAGTCATTTGGATGAAGCTGACAAATTATTCAGTTGTGAAACAACGAATTTCTATTTTTTACAGAAATTCATGCGTTATGAGTCATTCAACGTTTTTTAGCGAATAAAAAATCCGAAAGATGACATGTATTGTATATTTTTGTTCAACATATTGTATATGAAATGTGTGATTGATATGGAATAACAATAAAAAACAGTTCAATTTACCTTGTCTTGTTTATTTCATCATATCCTATTTTTGTTGATGATTTTAATTTTACTGGTGATGCTGAACGTTTTCGTTTTTTTGTTGATTTTAAATCTTTATCCAAAGTAAAATGGTTTGTATAAGAATTATGATTTTTATTTTTAGTATAAATCGAAGATTGTTGTATTGCTTTATTTTTAACATTAATATTATCATCTTCATTTAATATAGATTCAATATTTCTTTTGAAAATATGATTATATTTGACTGCAATCGAACGTTGAAGGTAATGCGAGAAAATTGGATTCAAAAATGTTTGTGAAGGAAGTAATATTAAATCAAGATGTTGATTTTTATTTAATAATTCTTTATAGTTTTCATACTGAAATTGTATAGAATTATTATTCTCCTGTTCATCCTCTGAGAATGATAATAATAGTTGAATAGTTTGAAAAAAATTTTCATCAAAATTTACTAATGAATATAACTCATCAATATCATTTTGATTAACAAATCGATGATTAGTTGATGTTAAATTTATCCAGAATTGTTCGGGAACGATTTGTTTTATATGTGTATTATTTATTTTTAATCGTTTACCATTTCGATTTGGCGTTAAAATATCATGATAACCATTTGTTGTTGAAGTTAAAGTACGATATGTTCGTTGTCTTGTATAATTACCAATTGATTCATTTTGTTGATGTTGTATTGTTGGTGATGGTGGATATATTATGTGTGTGATGGGCGTTGATGGAAGAAATCCATTGTAAGCACCGCGACTTCCTCGTTCACGTTTTATTATCCTTAATGTTCTTCCACGTCCTCGACCTTTTCCTCGTCCTGATCCTCTCTTACGACCTCTAGGCCATGTTCCACGAAAAGGTCGACCTCGAGATGAATACGAACCGCGATTATTATAAACTGTTTTTCGATCAATATCATGTAATTCTCGATCGTTATCATCATCTCGTTGAATCGTTGTTTGTTCCCACAAAGTTGCTATATCTATGTCACAATTAGTCGTGGACGTGGTGGCTGTTATTGTCAATGTTGAATTAATACGATTATTAAAAATTTGTAAACGTTTATATCGTTGCATTGCTGATATTCGTACAGCTTCTAGTTCTTGTTGAATATGATTGAGTTCATGAATAAACACACCGTTTGATGGATGATGTTCATTATTAATAACTTGATAAATTCTTGGACACGATTTATCATAACTTGGATAGTAATGAACAAAATTAGTACTTGTTGGTTTTTGTGGATAAATGATAGATGGAGGTGAAGAATGTCCAGTTGTTGTTCCATTGTTGTCGCATGAATTTTTATCCGACATCATGCTGAATGTTTTATTGTCACAATCGTCTCATTTCTCTGTCACCAAATAACACATGACAAATCTGAAATAGTACAAAGTGGAATTAATTTATAAAGTCTAACACTACATCTGTAAACAAGTTGTGTAACAATTCTGTCGTCTAGAGAGAAAATATTTGAGAGTACATCATCTTAGACAGTTTGTATTCCATTTTCCGAAAACAATATCTGTAATCTAGTCCATTATAAGACGCCTATTTGAAGATATATATTATGTCTATGCACTTCTTTGATATAATAATTATGAGAAATAAATGTGTATTTTCTTATTATTAAGAAAAATCTTTAAACTAGTAAAAAAAAAACAATACCTTAATACCGGTATGACTATGGTAATCTTTTAATGCAAACAAATATCAGAAAGCTAAGTCAACTTTAGATGACAGAGTTTATCAAAAAAAAGAAAAAATAGCAAAGAAAAATTACACAAAACAGTTGACATAAATAAGCACAGAGTGTGGTTGACATTACTAAAATAGAACGAAAGGAAAATAGAACCAAAGGAAAAATACAGCAAGTAGAAAATAGACAGTATTCTTTCTACAACTACACAAAATAAGCGTCGCAAAAAACAATGAAGTCGAAAGAAAATAGCTACAGTAATATGGAAAAATGGGAAGAATAAAGCAGTAATCTCATAAAAAGAACTCGTTTTTTTTTTATTGCAAATAACCGGGAGATGAAGAAAGAGGAAAGATCACAACAAAACAAAATTCATTTGATTTTTTTTAATTGTTGAAGTTTATCTTGTTCATCGCATAACATTTGTTCATAAATTTTTCGCTCATTTAATAATTTTATCAAATTATTTTTTGCCATTGAATACGTTTTTTTCTTACCCATTCGTTTTCCATCATCACCACCAATTTTAATTAAAACATTTTCAATTTGTTCATCTACTTGTTGAATTATATATGAAACTTTTTCAATATTTTCTTGAATGTTTGAACGCTTCGTTGCCAATAAACTTAGAGTTTTACATTCACTTAACAAATTTTCAAGTAGAGAAAATTTACATTCAAATGAATCAATACGTTCATTTTTGACAGATTTTTTTTTAATTATTGTCTTTATTTTACCATATGGCTGTTTTTTATGACGTTTCGATTTCTTAAATATTTTGGATGGTACTACCACTAATGGTAGGTGTTCATTATTTAATGTGTCCTTATTATCAATTGGTTCATTAAATAGTTGACGTTTAACTGTTAACGTAGATGAAGAATTATGTTCTTGTCTAGTATTTTCTTTTTCAGGACTTAAAATGAGTATTGGAGAAACAGGTAAATGAGCAGTTGTTCGATCCGTTAAATAATCAGCCACTAATTGTATTTTTTGTTGTTGTTCAGCTTTAATTAATGATGATGATAATGAGAAAAATTGAGCATTTTTATGACGGGTACCTTTTCGTTTAAGTGGATTAATCGATTTTGATAGTAAACCCAATGATTCATGTTTAATGTCAACACCCTTTATTTCATCTTCCTGTTTATCCTAAAATAACAAGACAGACATCAATTATAAATGCTTTATGTTTGCTTTATCATTCTGGGCTTCTAAACTAAGTTTGAAATTCAAAACTGTACATATATTTTGAGATAAATTTTTTTTATAGCTAATCTATAAACGTTTAGTAGTTCTGCGCTATGCATAACAAACATATTGTATTAGTACTAGTTTTCTCTTACTTTCTGCTGAAAAGTCGGCAAAATGTTAACAAGATTCGTTGGATTATTATTTGGATCTGAATCTTGAAAATGTAAACGTGGCGAACATCTCACGGAATCACTGATTCTTTTTCGATTATCTGTCAATGTTGGTGATTGTTTATTTATTGTTGCAATATTTAATTTCATTGTCGGACTTGATGTCGGTGTCTTGTAGGCAGGCGAACCGCGTGGAATAAACGAATGAAAACATTGCTGAAAGCGTTTCAGTTGGGTATGATCAATATAACGTGTGATAACATCGTATTTTTGTTTATCACAATTACTTAAAAACTGATTTAAATTAAATATTGCTAAATTTTCAACATCTGTTGTGTTGTTATTTTCTTTTTTCAATTTTCGTCCAGGGGTTATTGACAAATTTAGTTGTTGTTGTTGTTGTTCATCAACAATCGGCAGTGAAGCAATCGATGATTGTAAAATATGACTATCAACTGTCTTTAAAAATTCTTTCAACTTCTCCATAATCAAATTTCTCGATGTTAACGATAATTGCTGTTTTTGTTGTTCTGACTGTTCCATATTTTTTGTTATTAAATATTCTTGTTTCAATTGAATAATTTCATTTTCAAGTAGTTGATCAAATAAATAAATATTTTTTATTGTACTTAAATCTGTCTGAGTAATTGAACTATATTTGGATTGAAATTCTAACCAAAATCGATCAATTGATGCTATAGTTGTTGATATCTGACGATAAAATTGTTGTTGCTGTTTAATATTTAGTGGTCGTTGAAATTTTGATGCTATATCGCGAAATTGTCGAGCGCCATAAACACGTTCAGCGTCTTGATGATGTCGTACTAATAATTGTAATCGATTATTTACTGAATGATTCGTCGTTGAGTTATTGACCGTTGCTGCAAGTTTTTCACGTAGTGTTGACATTGCTAACAAAGCTTCTAATTCTTGTTGAACTAATAATATTTCATGTGAAAATACACCAGATTGATGTTTAGCTGATATTATCTGATCAATATTTGTACATATACGATCCCACGGTAACAAACTAATTTCATTTACATAATTTATCGGTTGTAAACGTGCTGATGATTTCTAAAGAAAATAAATATAAGTAAAATAGATTTACAGTTTATGCAAATTCCCAATCGTGGATATGTAAGATCTAATTACACAAATAAATACTTTTGAATACAGAATAAATTAAAAGAATTAGAAAAGTTCTTTTCAAATAAGTTGAATGCAAATGAACTCTTACGCGAGAAGTATGACTATCACAAGTCTGATTTGAATCATCATCATTTCCACCACCATCAATTTTAGTTCCATTTGTTGACAGGTGTGTAATTGTTTTATCACCAGTTTGCTTTTTTCTGCGTTTTTTTGTTTTTTGTTTTAGTTCTTCTTGTTTATCTTGAAAATCGTTGTTTTGAATATCAACATTTAAGGGCACTTGTGAATTATTATCATTATTTGGTATGGATGAATGACGGGGTCTTTTAGCATTCTTGGAAAATCCATAATCTTCCAAAGATCGCTTTTGACTATTATTAGTTGATATTCCGTTTGTATGATGAATATTAGAATCGTCATTATCATCTAAAACGTTTTTGCTATGGTCTTTCATGCTCAATAAGAGAAACGTGCGAACGTCTATCTGAAACAAAAGAAATAAAATCTAATATAGTCAGCAGAATTGCTGAAAGACTCAGCTAAAATTTGACATAGTTCAAGAAGATGTTGGTATCAAATTCTCATATTAGTTGCAGAAACAAAGAATTGTATTTATTCGAAAGGTGGTTGTCTTAGATTTGTGTTAAAGCCAATTTCTAGCTAAAGTATTTCAAGAGTTGAAAGTAAAAATCAAAGAGATTTAGTCAAAGATTAACTAATTATTATTAATTATTTTTCTAGCTTCCAAGAGCTAAGGTGTTTCTTCTGTTACATGAAAATAAGTATCCAGAATATATCGAGTTAAAGCATACTCTTTCATTGGTAAATATCCTACAAAAGGGAAAGAATGAAAACGATGTCGCACACGTACATAGCATAGACTAAATCAAACTGGCCGGAAAGAATAGTCTATCCAATGAAGATAAAATTATATTCTTGTACAGTATATATGTTTGTATATTCTTGAAAATGATTGCATGAGCAACCGAAACGTCCAATATTTTTATTAAACAATAATTAAATAAAAATTATTATGAATGCTGGCGTATTAAAAAGGTGTATTCTCTTATGTGTTTAACATAATGTAACGAACATCAGTAGACGTAAGTCAGACTTAAGTGTATAAAATTAATACGTAAGTGTACGAAACGGAGACTTAAGTATGACTTAAGTCGAGCACTTAAGAATTTTTATGAAACACCCTCCAGAATTACAAACGTGTGACTATGGAGTATACATATTTAGTCAAACTCATGAATACTCGAAAACACCGATAAATTACGGTTTATCAATGAAATTTGTACACAAAACATATTATACACACTCACACATAGACAAATAAAATTCAGAATAAATATAGGAATGGAAATTATTTAAAAAGAGAAAACAACAAAACCTCTATAATATGCCTAGAACGCAGGATAGCTTTTAAAAATTTAGTGAGGGATACGAAACTATCTTTAAAAAAAAAGTGTTATTCTCAATATTGTGTCGTGTACCAATAGCTATTTATCTGTTCCAGCTACTAATATTGCCCTCATCATTCTTACTTTTCTGTTTTAATAATGAGAAAATTAGGTTAGTATTTATTTGATAGAGATGAACGATCATTCTTTGTTGTATCATCAGCCATTTGTTGCAGCATTGCTGTAGCCACATGATACGGCGGGGGCGGTTGTTCATTTGAAGTGTCTATCATAGTAGTACTGTTCACAAGCGTAGCTTCAGGTCCAGAAACAATTAATGCAACTTGAAATTGTGAATTTTTATTTTTGAGTTGGCATGTTGCTTCGTTACTAATTGTTCCATTTTGATTGAAACTAAGAAAAAATCCGGGAGATTGAACAGATTCCAAATATATATGCGTTGTACTACCTAAAACGAAAATACACAACTATTGTATTAGTACTCAAAAATTAAAAAGTCTTACCTAACATATTATGAACTCGAAATTCACATTCATACGGTAGTGGAGCTTCAGCTGAAGAAGGTACAATACACGGTTGATGATTTTTAAATCCAAGATAGTTGTAGTTATTATGAAAATAATATCGATCATATTGTGAGGCGACAACTACATAAAACAGAAAAAGAGATCGAATCTTTTAAACGCTTATCAGAAGATCAAAGAAAAAGTTTCTAATAATAGACATCAGAGACGGACGAGGTTCAATTTTTCGATTCCTCGAAAATCTTCACTGTGTCTCTTATTGCCTCTTATCCTCGGTCGAACGATTCGTATCTTCGTACAAAAAAAACAAACAATAGATTCAATGTAAACAACGATTTATCATAAGAATAACTAGGAAAACAACAAAGAATAATAATAACAACAAGATTTCACTTTTCCCGTCCTCGAAAACGAAAAAAATTCTCGCAAGTTTTCTTTTAGCATAAAATTTTCCTCGTCGAAAGAATATTTCTTATGGAATCCCAGTATGAGATGGTTCGCGAAGCGAGGAACCTCGATCTGCGCTATCTTTTATCAACACGTTCTGTAATGAATTTTATGCTTACCGCGAAAATGAGAATTTTGATAATAAGGTCCTTTTCCACCAGCGGCGTCTGGCACGAGTTTGTTATTCATATTCGACATAACTATTTGAATGGTTCGCTCCGAGGAACGTGAGATAAATTGAACGATATTCCCGGCCTTAAGATAGACTTGCGGATCTTTTCCTTTCACCACTTGATTTAACGCATTAGCAGCTGATGTTACATAATCTCGTCCACCGGATATGTTTCCAGCCACATCATAAGCCTTTTGGGCAAGACTGGTAAAAAAACTCATGGCGGAAGAATTGATACCAGGCGTAATGATGGCAGTCGTATCTACCGAACAATCTGGAAGGAAAAATGGATAGACTTTACTCTTATAATAGAACAAGAACTATGAAATAATGGATTAAGAAGTCGCTAGGAAATGCATACCTTCGATCGATTTAACTAGAAATGTATAGAATTTTAGTTGAATTCGTCAAATATTTTTTTTTAGATGTTAAATCTATAACTCATTCTTTTAAAGTATAAATATAATATCTCTAAAGGGTAGGAACATTCCTTTAACTCGTGAATAACTGGCTTGAAATTTTGCGTGAGCTTATAACACTCGTGGGAACCTGCTGATCACGAATCTAACATTTGTGTATCTCTGTTGTAATTTACTGGAAAACCTGAACATTTCAGCTTTTATTTCAGTGAAAGTTTTATAATCCTAAAGAAACCGAATCTCGAAAAGTTGTCTAGATGGACACTCGATGTGCTCGTATAAGCATGTGTTCGCTTGAAAGTTTGTCATTATTCGTTTTGGGACTCTGATTTCCGTAGGATCATTCAAAAGGAGCCTGTAGGAAACGAATATCAGATTCATGATCAACATCGACACCTAACTGTAATTAAATATGTTCTGGGAAAAAAGTAACTGGTCACGAGTTCATTTATAACGTCATCGTTTTCCTTCCATTTTCACTTTTCTCTGCTCAGTTGCTACTTCTCATTTCTTATGTTAAGCAAGAAACTGGCGTCACCTGTCCCTAGTGAAACTTGTTGATACAAGAAGTTCCACTAGAGATATTTTTTGGAACAAGAAATTAAATTTCTTGGAACAAGATCTTGTCCCCAAGAAATGCAAGAAAAAGAAGTGTCACTTTCTTGCCCAAGAAACGCTAGATCTTGGAACATTTCGTGGGAGAAGATCTTGGCTAAGAAATCAAAAAAAAACTTTCACTAGGGACCCTTGTCGTCAATAAATGAACGTTTATCTGGCGTAGTTTCCTCGTTAGAGAGAACCGATCACTATAAATTTCACATCATCTGACTTCATGACACATGAGATACTATATATTTTCACTACTAGTGCTATACATTCTTGAATATCTTAGAGCTTTAAACTTGGGCATGTCCACGTAAAAGTCAACTTTTTCGTACGTCCGTAACGTTTCGTAAAGTTCATAGTTCTTTGAGGAAGTCGTCGGGAATCATCCTATTTTGTAGCTTTAACATTTTTCTTTAATACGACAATCAAGCAAAGATAGTTCGTTTCAGAATCACAATGCTCTTGCAAAAGGCTACTTTTGGAAAAAAGGCACACTGCGGGAGCTGTTAAACTAGTCGGGTACTAGACTTTGCTTGATTGTCATATTAAAGAAAAATGTTTAAGCTACAAAATAGGATGTTTCCAACTCCGTAGCGTACGCTACTTGCTCAAAGGGCTGTGAAATTTACAAAATGTTACGGACTTACGTATTTTTGGCTGGATTGTGTAGACATGCCCACTTAAGGAGGATAAAGCGTCTTCGCAGTTCCTCGGCTCCTTATAACTTCTCAAGGCTCCATTTGGCTTCTAATATGAACAAAAGTCTAATTTTTGCTACATTAATATGAATGATATGAAAAAGTGACTAAGATACACTCGTCTCCACAGAGCTTCCTATGGCACTCGATGTCTCGAGAAGACGCTTTTCCTCTTTTTTCTGGATAATTAATTTTCTAGTGAGTCAACATTTAGTTGTTTTTTATAGTCACGAATAGTACACGTTTGTTGCTATGTTTTTTGTTTTGACAATTTCTTAAGAGACTTAGATTACAGCAAGAATAATATTTTTCTCCGTTCCATTGAAAAAAAAAAGAAAGAACAAAATCAAAACATTAACATATTCCTAGCAAACAAATTATTATTGTTGCTAGCAAAAAATATGCTAAACAACTTTATTCTTATGTATTCAGAATACAAACGATTCTCTATAATTCTAAAATTCTCATATTTAACCTAACAAAAATATTTTTCTTGGTACTGGTTATGCACGTCTGCATACTAATCCCGAATAATCTTTTCTCTGGGCACTGAAGCGTTTGAACACCAAATTTAACTTTTCAATCGTAGTTTTGACGCTATATAAATATCACAGTATACTTGAAATATTTCGAATGATACGGCAATGTGCCCATAGGATTTTTTTTCTCCTATTTATAGCGTTATAATGTTATAAAACATGCTTTTTTTAAAATTGCATTAAATTAAATGGCATTAGAGCGGTATAAAACATACTTTTTCTTGAATTATGGTATTACAACGCTATAGATTTATCTCATTACAACGCGATAGACGTAGCCCGTCGTGTTATAATGCGTTGCAAAGGTATTTTTCAGGAATTTATAGCGTTGTAACTGGATAAAATTTTTTATTGCATTACAACTCTATAAATTTATAGCATTATAATGTGTTTCAATCTTTTATCTCGTTACCACGCAGTTAGATTTGTCTACCGCCTTATAATACGTTAGATTCTAATGTATTATAACGCGTTTGAGCTTTCTGCTTCAATATAATGCGTTATAATACCTTGTATGTTTTATCTAATTATAATGCCATAAATTTGGAAAAATCTTTTATAGCGTTATAGCTCATTAGATAATGCATATCGTATTGTAACGAGTTAATATCTAGTATATTACAATGCATTATTCTTTTCTATCTCATTGCAATGAGATAAGAAAATGGAACTCGGTGTAACACGATAGGTATTAATGCATTTAAGTAAGAAATATAACACTGCGACTTCTTACTTAAATCTGTTTTCTTCACTGCACCACTTCCAAATTTTGTTAGGTATTAATGTGTTACAACGAGTTAGACAATATCCAAAACGAAAATACATGGTTTTCTCGTAAAGGACACATTTGTATAAAATTCTGAGACTGTCAATCGATTCCCGTCGAAAAGTTGGTCCGGGAAAAATCACTTCAACTATATCAGACATATACGTTACTGACTTGAGACTTTGGACATAAACTCCCACAGCACACTTACTACCACTGTCACGTATAGGGTTACAGCGCCTGAACAGTTAATGCATTGTAATGCCATAAATTTATAACGCTATAATGTGTTAGATATTATATCGGTATAATACATTAACCTGTAACGTGTTACAGATTAATGCGTAATAATGCGATAGGAGTTTGATAACGCCTTATAACGATACACAAAACTACTAACGCGCTAGTCGAATTTTAGCGTTGTAACATTATAAAATATGAGAAAGTCGTTGATAAAAATGCATTATAACACTATAATTTCAATTTTTGGGTAGTTTTTTCCACGTAATGCGTTACAATGCATTAAAGACATGTTTTTTCTAAATTTATCGCGTTATAACACAATAGAAAAGCTAACACATTACAAGGCATTACGATATGCCTAACGCATTATAATGCAGTAAATACGAAAAAAAGATCTTGTGGATGGTACTGATACCTGTCACTGTTGCACTCTAATTAGAAAAAAAGAGTAAGCAAGAGTAATTATACGACAGCTAACTGCTGTCGATATAATCAGCAATGCGACACTTGTTTTTAGTAGTTTTGATCACTAACATTATGAGTTCTGTACAAGTTGTGATAGAAAAGACAACTTTTGGATCATTAAGTATGTCTTCCTGTGTATATCTTTTTATTATCGTCAGAATGTTCTGAGTAAATCTTTGAATGCGTACAATCCTAAGATCTGAAACTTTGTGTTTTCTCGAGTCAAAATGCTACTTTTACACTCATTTAGAAATTTTTTTCCATAAAACTCAGAATTCTCATAGTGATAATCGATTATAAAATGATTGTAGTTTTGTAATCAAAAGGTTCCATTTAAAACTCGAAATTTATACTGACAATAGAGAACGATTAAGATAACAGAATTGTATATGAATTTCGTCTGGTGATAAAATTAATTGCATTTTTCATTAAAATAAAATATCACAAAAACTATGAAAACTGTTACTTATTAGCATTTTCTGAAAGCTATACCTACAAAATATTTCAAAAATCAAGAGAAAATTATGGTTCAGCAGGGATCATGATGTTTCGCTTCTGTAAAGAAGTGCCATATACGACTGGATGTGAAGAAAACAAAATTTTTCTTATTTTTCATTATAATCTAATTTTTATCTGAATTAGTATAGTGTATTTTAAAGAATTATTTGATGTTCACTCAACAAGATAAATCAGTTCTTACTGTATTATTGTACATTTCATGGATATCTCGTATATTTAAAAGATGTTTAAAGAAAAATGGTAAAAAATTCATGACAACATATACCACGATTTTGATCCAATCAATTTATTTTTTTCATTTATTAACAATCAGACAGTTTTAAAACTGTACAACAGCACATAAAAAATATTAAGACGTTAAATGATCTGAATAAAAATTGGTGCTAAGAACAATTACAGGAAATTTATTTTTTATAACAAATGAAAAAATTATGCAAGAGACATTGTCGAAATACGTCAGAAGAAAAACGACTAGCTCGAGTATGAAGAAGCAAAATAGAGAAATAGCTTCTTTTTTCCAGAAATGAGAAACATCATGCTGCAAAAACGTTTTTTATTTTTTATTGCATCCAAAAACAGACAGAGTAAAACCGGGCGTAAACAAAACATATTTTGGAAAAAAATAATAAAGAGGTGGGACGTTGTGTAGTAAATAAGAAAAAAAGAAAAGAAATTTTGACTTATGACCATAGCAATAAAGTTATCTGTTAGAGAAAAAGTCTGCAAAAAGTTTAATTATGAAAATATCATTCATTCGTCTGAAGAAGGGAAAAGCTAGATGAACGATGAGATTTTGTATTAATCTTCCTCCACCTCCTACTAGACTGAATGCTAATAAACAAATAAATATTGAGTATTAGATCTTCTCGTTTTTTACTTAAGCAATATTTTTGAAATTTTACTTGTTAAAATGAAGAAATAAAAAAACTTAATCGTTACTAGTATCATACATTCTTTGATACTTTT